CCGTTAATACTGAAGTCTTCTATGCAGCCTACCAGGGAGATATTGACAGCCCCTGGTGTCAGGCCTAGACGGCGTTCTTGGAGGTGGCGAGAGGCCTCTGCGTCCAGCCCCCCAAGGAGTAGACCGCCACGTGGTTCCAGGTAGCTGAGGACCCCGCGGTTGAAAGTGCGTGTAGGGTACTGGTCCACAGAGATCTCCAGCCGGTGAGCATCTATGTGTACGCTGACCTCGTGGGGCTGTCCATCGGCGACAGGCACGCTGTTACGAAGCAGCATGGTGCCTTGGCCCATTTCAACCACAGCCCGCAAGTGGCCCTCGAATATGTCCACGTAGATAAAGTTGCCACGTTGGTCCCCTGCTTGGAAGGCCAAGGGGGCTTGCTGACTCCGCGTTGTAAGGGTAAACTCCAGTGTGCCTTCCTTCTGAGTGCTCCAGGCAGAGAAGGTAGCCAGCGAGCGAGGTCCAGAGAAGCCCAGGCCCACGTCGTCACCAGCAGAGAATTCTTCAGCACAACCTTCATGAACGTCAGGAGTTAGTGGACGGAGAAGATTGCGGCCATTGAGAGTGGCTGAGTGGAGGCAGCCCCTCAGGGGTCGGCTGATTCCCTTCAGGTAAGGCAAGTCAAGGCTTCCAGAGCCCCCCACAAAGAGCCCATAGGTGACCTCCAGGTGGGCTTTTGGGATTGGGGCTGAGGTGTTTAGAATCCCATCAACAGACAGCACAGCCAAGCCATCAGAGACAGTAAACACTATGGTGTGGGGGGCAGAATCACTCAGCACTATGTCTGTTGGGGTCTGCAGCTTCATCTCCTTTTGGTCCAGGACAAGTCTGACCTGGAGAGAGATAGGGAGATCAGGGGTGGGAATAGGGGACGTTTCTATCTACCCCACAAAAGCACAGTGGGCCTCCCACACCGAGCCCCCCCGCAAAGTGGGACCAGGACGAAGGCGTTCGTGACATCACTCATGCGTCCCTCACTGACCAACAGTAACAGGGCAGAGTCAAGTTTCCATGGTACTTTGTGTAATCCCTGACCCCAGGGATTTCCACAAGACAAGGCTCTCCTGAAGCAGTGCTATCCACAATCTCATTCTACCTCTCTTTCCTTGGGTGAGCAGTGCCAGAAAACCTAGTTTGGATTCTAGAAACATTACTTCCAGAGGAGCAATAGGAACTCTGGAATTTCCTGGTGAACCCCTTTAGCAAGGAAAAGTAGCTTGGCTCACTGTACAGAATAAGAACCCAAAGGGATGGTTTGTGTTGCCTTTTTTTTAATTTAATGTCTGTGTGTGCACGTGTGCATGTGTGTGTGGGTGTGTGCGTGTGCATGTGCGTGCATGTGTGTGTGCATGTGCATGTGTGTGCATGCACATTAGAAGACAACTCTCAGGAGTCAGTTCTCGCTTGCCACTTTGTGGATTCTGGGGACTGAACTTCAACCATCAGGGCTGCACAGATGTGCATCTTCCTATTGAGCCATTTCAGCATCCCAGATGCTGTTTTGAGGATCCAGCAGAGAAGGCTCCCTCCGTGACATGGACACCAGAACCAGAGTGGGTGGTGGCAGAGTACAAGACCTTAGCTATAAGCAGACTATCTCTGTACGATGATGGGCACCACTGTGACTACTGCACCAGGCCCCGGGTGACACCTCGTGGCAGCGAGAAGCCATGGCTGCCCTAGGATGATAGGGTCACAGCCCCCAACCTCAATGGGCATGAAAGCAGATGTGTCCAAGGCCAGGACCCTAAACTCTTCATGATTAGTAGGAAGATTCAAGAGAGAGCCAAATGACCCCTCGCTAATAATATTGATCTTAAACAGGAAATAAGAAACAGGTGGCAATGGCAGTGTTATCAGCACAGAGTGTACCACCATACCACAGGGGGGCCTAGCGGGAAGCGGAAACCCCAGTGGAGGGACTTGAGTCAGGTGAGTAGCACGGGACACTCCCGGCAAAAGGGACTAGCTCCCTCACACAGAGATGTCAAAGGAGGAGGACTGGTTAGGCACAGGGGAGAGGAAGGCAGGCAAAGAGAAAAGCCGGGGCCATAGTGAGAAAGCCTGTCAATCAGTCAGGCACTGTGAAGAGGTGGACGGAGGAAGCGGTTCAGTGCTCTCAAGTCCAGATGACCAGCCAGGGGCTAGGAAGAGAACTGAGCTCCGAGTCAGTGAGTAGGCAGAAGCGCCGGAACAGAAACACCCTCTCTGGGATGTCGTCCACTCACAGTGGACAGACCAAGACCCCAGGGCAGAGGCGACGTCCACGAGGTTGCACAGCCAGAAGCAAGGCGTTCTAATAGAGAAGGAACACCTATCCCTGTCCCCGGGCGTGTCACTCACCTGCAGGCATCCAGAGTAGAGCTGGAGCAGGAGATGGTCAGCTCGGCCTGCTGCCAAGAGAAGCAGGGCATCGGGCTGAGATGTGGAGAACTGGAACAGCAAGTCTGCTCTGGTCAGGGCTGTGGGCACGGGCACCTCCAGGTGGTTTTCCCCAAAGAAGGAGGCTGGTGAGAGAGAGAGAGAGAGAGAGAGAGAGAGAGAGAGAGAGAGAGAGAGAGAACGAACTGTGGTCAAGGCCAGGCTCCTGGCAGGAGGAGGCTAGGTACCGCAGAGACGGACAGCTGTGCTGCTGGAGGGGCCTTCATGCTAACGCGTCCCATAGCTCTCTGTGGCATTGTCTAGGGGCCTTGTTAGGACTCCAGCTGTTGGAGACTGCTTGGGTTCCTGAAGCCACATGTTTCCACCACCTCTGGGCCCTGGAGACTGCCCATCCTGGGACTGGTCTCTCCCTGTCTTGTCTTGATCATCTTTCTTGGTGGGCACAGTCCCCGGGAACAGGGGATCCCTGGTCACGTTCCTGCTCCTAGGGTGGGCTCTTCATACCCCTTGCCACGGTCATTTTTCGCCTCTGTGGTTGGCCAGAGCTGGTGCCAGATGGTGGAATGCGGACAGGTAATTTCTTCTCTCGTGCTATTTTCCTAGTGCCTCTGGGGATGGGGTGGGACGGGGCGGCTCAGTGCTCGGAGTCTGCCAAGGAGCAAAGGCTCTCAGGCCAGATGGAAAGCACGTGTAGTGTCAGCCTCAGAATGGGCCAGAACTTCCTCCATCACTCTGCGATTGCTTCCTGCTGCAACACTACCACCAGTCTCTGGTGAATAGTCACATCCGGGCTCTCTGTTTCCACACTTGCCCAAGGAGCCAGGGAAGACAACGGCGGAGTTTCCTTCTCTAGGCCAAGCCAGGACTGAATCTGAGCACAAGGGTAGGAGGGACCACGGGTCTGCCAGCTGGACCAAAGCGAGCGTCCTCAGGCAGCAGGACAGACAAGGTCTCCCCAGGGTCAGTGACCGCCAGCCAGGCTCCCTTTGGACCACTCTGAGATCGTCCTCCTTCAGTCTCCCTCCAGGCACTTTCCCCTGTCTCCCGCCCACCACCAGTTTCTGGTCCATTCCTTCATGGTGATTAGAACCTTGACGGCCTGCAGATATCCAACGTTGGGGAAAGGCTACAGGAGGAGGAAAAGACTCATCCCAGTCAGGCCTCTCTGAGACTTCAGGGCCCAGTCAGGCTGATGGCTCTGATAGAGGTGATCTGGCATCAGCCACATAAGCGCTGGGCCCTGGCCAGCCTGAGCCAGCTGACATCCGCCCGAGAGAGCAGCATCAGCCACCGCAGGGGCCTGCGCCTGCCTTCTCCGCCCCAGGAAGGATGGCCAGGAAAGATAATGCTGTTCTCAGGGCTGAGCTGAAATCTCTCTGCTGGCTCCTGGATAGAGCGAGCGCAAAGCCACCTGCCCAGGTGTGGCTGGCAGGCTCTGCAGGCCCGGCATGTCTTGTGCCAGGGAACCTCAGACCAAGGAAACTGGCAGGCAGTATGTGCTTGTGGGGGGTGCCGTACCTGCTTGAGGAAAAGGCTGCAGGCTAAACCAAGGGCAGCCAGGGTACAGAGGGTGGGGCGCACAGCCCCCACCGGATGGAGCCACCACCTCGGTGGGCTGGAGTGGCTTGGAGCAGCTGCTGAGACTAAGCAGTAAACCTTCAGGGATTTTGTGAGCCAGGTGACGCTGCCCACTCCGAGAATATTTATATCCTGCAGAGGCAAACATCGCAAAGGAGATCTGGGATGCTCACCACCCCCAAGGAAGAGGGCGCTCTCTCTCTGGTGAGAGCGATCTGGCCAAAACTCCCTTGCACAGAAAGTGTATGTCAACTTCTTAGGTCTTAGAGGGAAGCCAGGGCTGTGGGTCAGGCACCAAGGAACACGGCTGGCCCTAACCATTGAACCACTTGCCTCTGCTCTCTTCCCACAGGAGAGAGCAGCAGTCTGTTTGGCTAAGTGGGAGGGTGGCAGGAAGCAGAGGTACTTTCCAGAGAGCTGGGGTCTGAATAAGCCCATTGAGGGCCTGGGCCCTGCTGTTTCCTGTGTGGAGAGTCGCTCACACTGGCTGCCTTGTGAGCTCGGCTCGAGTGTGCAGGCCAGGCAAGCCCCCTTGTCCGAACAGAGGCCTCTGAAGCCAAGCTGGCTGGGGCTTTGGAAACTCTGACAGGACTACCGCTCACCTCCATATTTGTGTTCCTCTTACTCCCTCTGATAGGCTGCATCCAGAATTGCTGTCATTGGGTAGGGGGCAGCTGGAAGGGGCCTTCAGATATAAAGAGGGTGCGGGATGAAGAAATAATGAGCTAGAAGTCAATCTCAGAGGCCTTCCTGGAGGAGGTGAGGGGGTGGCATCACCGAGGAAGGGGAATAAATACTCTCAGAGATTAGGATCAGTGAAAGGCTGGTAGGGATGCAGAGATCCTTCTGCAGGGAGGGGGAAGAGGGTGGCGGCATCAGCTCCCATGCCCCCTGCTGGTTCTAGATAACTTACAGGCAGAGAGAGTTAGTGGTGTGGGCTGAGGAGGGGAGGTTATTGTAGTGTGCTTAGGCCAAGCCCTCTGTGTGGGAGGGGCAAACGCCCTAGGCTCTGGGAGATGAACTGGAGAGGCAGGAAGGCTGCTTGCTGCCTGTGTGTGGGCTTAGGTCACAGGTGAGTGTCCAGGGCTATGCAGATGTGCGTGCATGTGCTTGAGTGTGTGGGTGGCTGCTGGGCGTCTTTGGGGTTTGTCTAAGGCTATGTGTTTGTGTATACGCGTAAGGGCCCGGAGCTGCTAGGACAGAGGAGCGATTGTGCCCAGCTCGTCCTGCCTCCCTTGCCTGCCTGCCATTACTTGGGCAGGCCTGCTCCCTCAAAGAGGCCATGTGTTCCTGGAGGGCTCCTGCCCCTCCCACCCCAGAGCTCTGCCGAAGGTGGAGAAGGCCTCGTGGCTTCCCACCCTTCCTCTCATGAACAGGGAGCTGCTGTCTGGGCCCCAGGGTGGGGTGGCTCCATGCTTTTCCTGAGACTCAGGGTCAGGAGACAGAAAGAGCTCATGTCCTGCCATGATGGTCCCTCTCACAGATGGTCAGGGGCAGCTTTGGTCAGTCTTCAAGATAGCCACCCTTTGGCAGGCCCCGGATTGTGCTGGTTCCTCCTGGAAGCCTGGGACGACTAAGGGAGTCCATGGGGATTGGTCCCTGCCCCGGGGAGCACTTAGCATTTAGTTTTGCCAGGGTAGGGTCACTATGGAGTTGACGTTATCCTTGAACTCTGCATCACCTGGTAGGATTACAGGATTACTACCATGCTACACCTGAAGTTGCTTCTTAGGATGCTCAACCTTCGGCTGGTCAGTCGGCTCTGGGGACAAAGGGGTCCTATGTAGGGAGTACCTATGTGTTTTAGCTCTCCTTGCCTGGCTGGGAGCAAGGTTTTCAGTTTACATGCTTTACCTTGTGCTGGGGCACTGCTGTAGACCCAGCTCCTCATACTCCTCCGAACTCTGCAAGCCAGTTTTCAGTTTACATGCTTTACCTTGTGCTGGGGCACTGCTGTAGACCCAGCTCCTCATACTCCTCCGAACTCTGCAAGCCAATGGTCTTTCTTTCTGTCCTCTCAATGCCTCTGCCTATGACTCTCGGTCTTGCCACAGCCCACCTTAGGCCTCTGACCCTCCTGTTCTCTCTTCTCTCACCTTTATCCCTCATGCCCATCTTCCTGTAACTGGGAAGACAACTCTCTGTCCTAGGAAGTACCGGAGAGCCAGGCCTTTGGCTACCCATCCTGGGTCCCCCACCCATGCAGAACAAGTTCCATAATACTAAAGTTCTCTGTGGCACAGGACATATCGGGGACACAGTGGGGAAGCCATCAGACTTGGTCTCAGAAAGGTAAGCTTGAGGTCTCTGCTCAGCCACTGTCTGAACCTCACCCCAGCACCACCCACAGCACCCAAACCCTGGCAGTGAACCCCTGTGAGCTCCATGCTTACAGCCCCTCATAGCCTAGGGCAGTCAGGCGGGCCTCCACGGCTGGCTTGCGTCATGGGCAGCACCAGCATTCCTCGTCGTCTGCCGTCGCCTGACTTTATAAGGGAGAAAATGGGAGCCCAGAGCTGTTGGGCAGGATGGCAGTAGGAGTGCCTGCTGCCCAGCTGAGTGCAGGGTGGGGGTGGGAGCCCTGGGTATGTGAACATGGGGTGACGCCCAGTGCTGCTGCAAGAGAGGTAGGTGAGAGAGACAGGGGACCAAGCTTCATCCGTCACTCATTTGTTTATATACACATGCATGTACCCACACAGACACACAGACAGACAGACTGACACACACACACAGATACACACCGACACACACACAGAGACAGAAAGACAGACAGACACACAGAGACAGATACACAGAGATGAAGACACAGACACACACTGCCACACATACACACACAGACAGGCAGACACACAGATACATACACAGCTATACACACATACAGACAGTCAGACACACAGATACACACAGACACACACATAGAGACAGAAAGACAGACACAGAGACAGACAAACAGTCACGACACACACAGAGACACAGACACACAGAGAAAGGTACATACACAGACACAGACAGACAGACAGACAGACAGACACACACACACACACACACACACAGAGCCTAATGTAGCAATTGGGATGGAAAAGAAGAGCCAGTCTGGGAGAGAGAAAGTCTGAGGACAACACTGAAAATGAGACATAGTGCCTCTCCTCACGAAGACTGAACGCAAGGGACACAGCCTAGAGTTAGAAAAGGAGATGGAGAAGCCAAGGGAGACAGCAAAGGCAGAAGCCTACTGCTGTGGGTTGCAATGAGGGTGCCCAGTGAGTGGGGAAGAAGAGGATCCTGCCTCGAGGAAGCTGGATTTCTCTACTGCAGCCTGTGGGGTTTGCCATCGGGGTAATAATCCATCCTGGTTCCAGGTCTGAGAAGGCAAGGGTGAGGTTGGAGTTTTCAAGGGAGTCTAGAGGTCTGTGGTCCAGACTCTTGGGAGGGCTGAGGCAGGGATGAAGGGCTCTCTGTCTACCAGCCATGGGGGTGGGGGACCCACCTGGGGCTGAATACAGCCTTTGTAAGAGCAATGGGCCCAATGCCCTGCATCACCCAGCCCTCAGGCCAGCTTGCCTGCCTCCCCTTGTATCTCCAAGGACTCCTTCCCTTTTCTCCACCAGAGACTGGTGCCCTGGCTACTGGCTCTCCCTGCTCTGGGCTGGGGGAACAAAGTGATAGGGAGGCAAAAGCAGCTTATGGAGTCCCTACAGACTAGGGTGTGTGCGGTGGTGGGTGCGGGTCGGCACACCTGGACAGAGCATGTAGGTGAAAGTGAGGTCTGTGAGGAGGATAGACCCCGGGTCCAAAGACTCATAGGACTGGGTTCTGCATTCCGGTTGACCAGGACTGCAGGATAATCTACCATACTGCCCGTTTCTTGGACCCCTTGGCAAGGGCAAATCTGCCTAGTGGGCCTAGCTTGGGGGTGGTTATCTACTCCCAAATCTGCTTCCCACCTCCCACCCCTATCAGCACACTCACCCACTCCGAGGCCAAGCTACCACCCTGACCCTGGCCACGACCTTTCTTCACCTCTACTACTCTGAAGGTATGGAGAAGATGAAATGGAACAGATTCAGGTCGGACCAAAGGGGCGACAGCTTCCACAGGCATGACGTTGGGGTGAGCAGCCTCGTCACCTCCCCCTGCTAAGGGCTCCCTGAAGACGGCACATGGTCACTGTTCTTTAGCTAAGCGCATCTGATTCTGGGCTAGCTCAAAATCACAAGGGACTGGGATTTAGAGCAGAACTCATTCATTCTCCCTCTCAGGACGAGACCCCATCCCAGGGCAGCGCCGGACCACCAAGCATTGTCAGAGTCACAGGCAAATGGCCTCCGCCAATGAACACCAAGACTTCTGCTGGGGTCAGCATGATCTACTTCCCCTCACCCCAACAACTGTGCGGCCACAAGAATCATACTTGGACCTTCACTCTCTCACTGACTTTTTGGTCCCCTGAAAATCCAAAGAGGCAAGAACAGAAGATGGTTTCCTCAGTTATTGCCTGAGCTCCACCTCTGGCCCTGGCCTCAGCTCCTGGTCCTCTAAACAACTACCACCAGTCAGCCATGCTGTGGGCCATAGACTGAGGATGCTTTCCAAAGCAGAGGCTCACATGAGGGATGCGGGCTCCTGGAGAGAAAGCAGGAAGGCGCTGGGCGATGCCCTGTGAGCTCTCTAGGGGCAGGGCTAGTGTCCTGGGCTTCCAGCCACACATCCCAGCCCGGGGGCCATGTGGGGTACTAGAGGAAGTAGGAGGGAAAATGAGAGGTTTTGATGGAACCAATAATGCAGGGTCCACCAGGCTGGAGGCTGGGACTGGAGGAAGCGGGTCTCAAAGGAGTCTTTGTAGAGCTTCGCTGCTCCCCAGCCCGAGGCAAAGAGGGAGGAACCAGCGATGGTGGGGTGTGTGTGGGGGTGGGGGTGGGGGAGCAATTCCAAGAGGCTTTTCTCTGCCTTATAATTTTCCTCCTTGTTCAGATGGGTGGATTTCTAGGCCCTCTTCCACATTCCCCATCCCTTGCTGGCCAGGCCCTCGGGGGTGTGAGATTCCCATCTCAGTGGGCTCAGGCTGGAATAAGGTTAATGGCATGTAAAAGAAAAAGAAGAGACTCCCTGGAGCCCTAGCAGGATCTCTCTGAGACACCTCCCATCTTACAAGTGGGGACACTGAGGCAATTCCCTGTGCAAGGGGTTCGCAGGGACAGAGGCCAGACTAGGGCTGAAGTCCCTGGGGGGTGTGGAGCCAGAGTTGGGTGATGTGGGTGCCAGCAGGGAGGTGTATGCACACAGAAGTGGTGGCTGCCATTGGAAGTGAAGCATCTGCATTGGCTGTGGTGGGAGGAGGGTGTGAGGCTTGGCATCTTGCCTGGGGAAGACACACTTTTTCCCTTCTTGTCCCCCTGAGGCTCCCTCTGTCAGGGTCGGGTGGAAGTGGGAGGAGCAGAGGACCGGAGGGAACGCATCTGCTTTGGCTGGCAGGGTGAGGCAGCCTGGCTTCTCCTGGAGCAGCTGCGGGTGGGCTCTGGGAGCTTCTGGGAGAGGGAGGGGCTGGCAAGAGGTGGCCCAGTCTTCTCAGAAGCCAGTGATTAAGTGCCAGTCCTGCCCACTGGGATCTTGGAGGTCAGGGAGAGTGGAGAAAAGGGGGTCTAGGAACTAGGCCTGGAGTGTGTGTGGGGGGAGCTACTCTGAGAGTGTCTGTTGGGTCAAGTCCTCTCACAGGCAGCTCATACAGACATAGACCACAGTGCCACAGACCAGTCATGAGAGTGGGGGTGTTGGGAAGGTATCTCAGAGTTCCCTCGCCTGGCAGGCTGGATTTGGAGATGGAAGGGGTGAGCTGGGATAGGAAACAATGACTGTGGGCCTGGGCAGTTCTGAAATTAAAGCTTGGTGGCATTTGTGTGCAGAACAGGTCATGTTCCTCGGAACAATCATGTCTAACATTTAGGGAAGAAGAGGGAGAGACCTCCAGATAGATGCTTCTCATCGGGAGCTGGATTAGGGATCATCTGTCTCCTATAACACAGACAGACACACAGGCAGATAGGCAGTGTATGTGTTTGTGTGTGTGATACT